TGTGCCCTTTGTCAGGAATTCTATGGGGAGGATGTGAAGTCGTCTCCGGATTATGAAAGGATCGTCAACAAGCGTCACTTCAAGAGAGTCCTGGGCTTGCTGGAAGGGCAGAAGATTGCTCATGGGGGAGAGAGTGATGAGGCCTCCTGCTTCATAGGTGCTTGTGGCTGCTGCTGGGGAGGGGAGGTGGTAGTGGGTGCCCTTTGGGGTCTGTGTGTGTGCGTGGCTTGCTTGGGTTACGTTGCACACAGACAGTGCAGTGAGGTCCTGTGATGGACCAGGTCTTCTGTCCTGCTCACACTGTTCTCCCGTTTGCTGCAGCACCGACCATCCTGACGGACGTTTCCCCGGATTCCAAGGTGATGGAGGAGGAAATCTTTGGACCTGTCCTGCCCATTGTGACCGTGAAGAGCACAGAGGAAGCCATTGAGTTCATCAACCGTCGGGAGAAGCCCCTTGCCTTGTATGTCTTCTCCAACAACAAGAAGGTGGGTCTGGGCTGTGTTAGAGAAAATGAACATGATGGCCTGTTGTCTTGTGGCTCCCTTCCCAGTATTCTCAGTTACGTGGCCTGATCTCTCCTGGGCCTTTGTAATGATTTGTTTGTTTTCTTTTGCTAGTTAATCAAAAGAGTCATCTCGGAAACCTCCAGTGGGGGTGTGACTGGAAATGATGTCATTATGCATTTCTTCCTCTCAACCTTGCCCTTTGGTGGTGTTGGTAAGTTACTGCAGCTTCTTAAGGATTGGGACTTGCCACACTGTGTGACCCAGGGAGCAACCCATGGTACCCCTGTGCCTGTTGCAGCCCAAGGGGCTCTGTGCATCAGGTCTTGATAATAATAACAAATTCTGGGAGTGCATTAGGGCAGGGGCCAGAAAGGGGAAAAACTTTTGGGTGTATTTTTGGAAAGATTAAAGCATTTAGTGCAGATTGATGTGAAAGGTGCATTAAAAACATTAGCTGCAATCAGAGGGATTAGCAGTGATCAGCAGGTGGAAGGGGTAGGACTTTAGCTTGGGGAGAACTGGAACGGGTTATGGATCAGTCCTTGGAAGCTTTGCAAAAGAGGGTTTTGGGGGTTACGGGCGGTGAACCAGCGTTAACAGCACACGCTGACGTGGAATGGGAACACGGAGCTGTACCCTGCAAAGCTCCTCAGGAAACCATCTCACGCAGCACCAGTCAGATCTCAGAGCCCTGGCACGGTGCTTTGAGAGGGAGCTAAATCCAGGGAAGAGCTGGAGACAGCTCAGAGGCACAGGGACCACAGCAAAATACTGGAGAGCGCGTAGTGAAAACGAGGTGGGGAAGGAGCAGGGTGGAGCACAGATGGGCATCTTAGAGACTGAGAAGTGCTGCAGGGAGGAAGGGTCAGTTGTCCTCAAGTGGCCAAAGGTTTGAGCGGGCTGTGCCCGTGGGGTGACCTGCCTGGCTCGTGTCCCTCAGGCCACAGCGGGATGGGCGCCTACCACGGCAAGCACAGCTTCGAGACCTTCTCCCACCGCCGCGCCTGCTTGATCAAGGACCTGAAGATGGAGGGCACCAACAAAATGCGGTACCCACCTGTCAGCCAGAAGAAGGTGGATTGGACCAAGTTCATCCTCCTGAAGCGGTTTAACAGGGGCCGCATTGGACTGGCCGTCCTGGCCCTGCTGGGGGTGGTGGTAGCGGTGATGATGAAGGTGAGTTTTGGGTCTCTTTGGGTCTAAGTGGGTGCATGTGCAATTCACCTCATCTTCTGCAAGTTCACTCTTTGCAAACTGCAGCCCTTTCTTAGAGCCTGGCCTCTTTTTCTCTCTTGAGACTTATTTTATTTCTCCCACCTCAAATTACCAAGATCTGCTTCTCACTTTTACCAGTGATCTGTAGAATAGGAATGTCCCCAGACAGATCTCCAGGGTTGCTGTACTACTTGTTGCACTGCTCTGGTAGGTGACACCCGTGGGATGCTCCCTCCAGAGGCAGCAGTTGGTAGTTCTGGACAGGTTAGGAGTGGTTTGAACTCCAGGGTTTCCTTCAGCAGCGTTTGAGCTGCTCCACAGCCCTGACAGCTGCAGTTTGTGCCAGGGCACCCTGGGAAGGGAAGCTGTGTCCCAAAGCCTGGGTCTGCAACGAGCTCTTGTTCCTTGTCCAATTTCAGCCCCTGTCTGACTTCAGCTCAATTATTCCCATTTCCTCCCTTGTTTCCAGCTGGGTAGTGCGGAAGGGTGGGATGTTCTCCCCTCTCTGCAGGAGGCAGAGGCCTGCTGGTGCTGGCTGGAGGCCTCGAGATGCCTCCTGAGCTGGAGGAGCAAGATCTAAATCTCCCAAGTGTGATCACTGTTGATTCTCTGTGTCTGACAAACCAGGTACTGCGGTGCCTTCACTGGCTCCTCCTCACAAGGCTCAGCTGTGCATCCGTGGGGTTTAGTGAGCTTAAGGGAGCAGCCCAAGGGGACAGGAGGTGGCAGGGTGGATCAGGACTCTGCCCTTCAGTCTGTGTTGTTACTGCTGTGAGGAGAGGTGCAGAAGCCCAACAAGCCAAGAAAATAACCTGCCCACATATTCCAGGAGGAGGTGCAAAAGCCAAAGAACTGGCTCAGGCTTTGAGGCACCAGCCAGGGGGGCAGGCCCTGTCTAGGTGAATGAGGGGGGAAACTCACGGCGTCTTGAAATCATTTGGGTTTCTCAGAACCACCAGTCTGTGCTGAAGAGAAAAGCCCTCTTGATTGTGCTGGCTGTGCAGAGGCTGGGCTGGCCCAGCGGGTGGTAAGGAGGAGCAGGTTTCAGAGCACTGCTGTGGCTGTCACAGTGAGGTAGGAGCCTTTTTCTTCTCCTGTGTGTAGACCTAGTTTGAGATGGGGGAGAGCTTTGTAGAGTGGTGAACGTGGGGATTGGAGAAAGCTCCCCAAGAGCCAGAGCACGATGCTTTCTCTGGCAGTGCATGGAGCTTGTCTGGCATCCAGGATAACCGTGCAGTGCATGCTGAGGGGCAGGAGGCAGGCGAGCTGCGCCCTGGGGGAGTCACCGAGTGAAGAGGCTTTGCTCCAGGCTGTTCTAGAAGGGGAATTGGTTTTGTCTCACAAATCCTTCACAGGACCTTGGTGTTGTTTTGCTCTCACAGGTGGTTTACTGATGAAGAGGAGAAGGCCCCGTGTGCCAGCCATACTCTGGGTGCTCGCTTTGTGTCTGTTTCCTTAAGCTGGGAAGTCATTATTTTCTTTTGTTCTGGGTGATTTCAGTGAGCTGTCGAGCACACAGAGTAGCCTTAGAGAGGCACTAACAACAAGAAGGCTCAGACTCCTGTTTGCTAAAAAGCCATGCTGGAACAGAGGGACCACAGGGGACAAGCTCTCCGGAGGAGGACTGCAGAGCAAGAAATTCCAGTCCCTATCTCCACCCCATGCCATGCAGAGTGCTGCTTCCAGGGGTGCACCAAACCACTTACCTTCCTTCAGTGACCAACAGGAGCTTCAGTTTCAGCAATCCTTGGGCTGACAGTGTTTCCCCTGCAGTTTTTGGGATGGGCTGTCTCCTGTTGTGCTCTGAACACCCTCCCTCTTGGTGACAAGTCTGAGACAGGCCATGCTGGCTGATGCATTTGACCAAGAGTGATGGTTGTGAATGAGCCCAGTGAGGTTCCCCTTGACATTTGAGGTGAAATATTCATGGATCTCTGCAAATTGGAATCATCCACAGCTGGTCAGGGAATGCAGGCTGGTGCCCTTTTGGGTCTCTGGGTTTCACCATATGGCTGTAACAATTATTTAACTGTTAGAAAATTACAAAGGTGGTACCTGCACTGCCTGTATTGTGCTGATGAGCATCTTACACTCGTGCAAAAGAACTTTCAGGCCTGTTTAGAGTAGTGGGAATGACAAAGTACCTTATGGGTTAGCTCAGCTCTGTGCAGCTGCTCCCTTATTCCCAGTGGGATGGGAAAGTCAGTCAGAGGAGTGAAAGTGAGAAAACTTGTAGGTTGAGAGAAAGATAGTTTAGTAGGTGAAGTGAAAGCTGGGAATGCAGGCAAATTAAAGCAAATTGAGAAATCTGTTCATTAATTCCCCTTGTCAGGCAGGTGTTCAGCCATCCTGGGGAAAGCAGGGCATCATCACACCTGATGGTGACTTGGGAAGACAAATGCCATTGTTGCCAATGTCACAAATCCAAAACAGCACCATCCCACTATGAAGAAACTTAGTGACTATGATGAAAATTAACTCCACCCCAGCCAAAGCCAGTACAAAGCTGTTCCTGGTCAGATTGCTCCAAGGGAAAACAATTATTGAAAGAGTGTGTGCTCCTCTGTGTTTGAGCTTCTGGGGCTGCTGTAATCTTGCAATGGGGGATAATGTGGGACTTGTTCGAGCTTGGGAGGAGGATGCTGAAGGAATTGAATGTAAAAGAGCCTTAGAAATATTAATGTCAAAATAAGGCAAATTAAAAAATTATTACTAAATGCAATTAATATAGAGTAGAAAGTTATATTTACTGTGCAATAAGTAGGATTTCTTCGTGGCTGGTGAAAATCCATGTGCTAAGCCTTTTTGATGATATATTTTGCAAGTACTAAATAAACACCGAGAATTTAAGTAATAAACCGAGTGTGGTAAGTCCCTGGAGTCTCCTGAAGAATCCTGCTCATCCTCTGCCACTCCCAGCTCTGGCCATGGCTTGGCCAAATGTCACACATGTGTTGTGAGGTGTCTCTGCCCTGGTTCAGGGGGACATGTGCCTGGCACAGTGATCTCTCTGCTCACGGGCAAGGGTCCCCCAGAGCTCTGGCAGGCACTGAAGAGGTGCCTGGAGCCAGGGAAGGTGTGGGGTGAGCTGGGGCTGGGGGGCTGTGGAGGAGCTGGGCTGCTTCTCCTGCGCAAATCCATCCCTGGATTGCCTCCCATCTGCAGGCAGGGCCTGCTGGTTGGGGTTTGTTCAGATCCCATGTCTGCATGTGTTGGCTCCCAACAGCAGCTGTGGCATGTGGAAGGCGCTTCCCCGGCCTCATGTGCCCAATGTGGGCAAAGCCACGTGGTCTCTCGCAATCCCTGACTCACTGCCCCGGCTGGACGGGAAGATCCAGGGCTTGTGTGTTCACAGCTGAGGACAGAGTTGGGTAAAGGGCATCTTGTATCTAGCAAGAGCCCTGGGCCCAGGCCAGCTGCCCGCTCGTGGGAGGAGGGATCGCTCCAAGCCATGGCAGGGGCAGGGCTTGTGCCAGCTTGCACTCACTGCGGGACACTGGTGGAGAGAGAAGCTTCTCTGAAGGTAACTTTCTCTTTTCCTTCATTTTTTTAACGAGTCGTTTGCTTTCTTGGACAGGACTGGGGCTGTGTGAGGCGGCTGTGGCAGCAGGCTGGGAAGGGCAGATTTTAATTGTTGTCGGGGAGCCTTGATGCCTTATTTGGTTGGGCAGGGATGCAGGCAGATCCTGACTAAAAGGTGCTGCTCCTGAGAAGCAGGATGAAACCTTTTGTTTTGTCATGTTTTGCAAAGACATGGGAGGGCCTTGGAGTTATGGGGAAGTCGAGTGCAGACGGGCTTCGGGCACAAAGCTCTGCTCCCAGCCGGCTGCCCGCCCAGGCCACCGTCATCCCAGTATTTTGGTTCCTTGGGGAGCACCCCTGTCAGTGGAGGGTGGAATGGCTGGTGGGTTTGAGGGTATCCACGAGCTGGGAGAAAGCAGAGAGCAGGATCTATCAGCCATCCCCAGATTGCTGTGAGAGGTGCTGTGTGTTGGACCCTGCGCAGGTAGAACAGGGCTTGGAGAGTGTGGGCCCTGAGCACTCGACTTGGGGGCAGGAGCTCCCCTCCAAGAAGAAGAACATCTCCCAACCTTGCTCCAGGTGGGGCATCTCATGGTGGTGACCCCACATTAAATGTTCCTGGGGCTGAGCACCCTCAATGGCCCTGTGGTGAGCTGGGTGTTGCTGTGTCTCCCCACAGCCCTGAGCAGCCATGGAGAGGATGCAGCAGGTCATTGCGCGGGCGAGAGCCGCCTTCAACTCAGGCCGGAGCCGCTCGCTGGAGTTCAGGATACAGCAGCTGAAGGCCCTGGAGCGGATGGTGCAGGAGAAGGAGAAGGAGATCCTGGCAGCCCTCCATGCGGATCTGCACAAGGTCTGGGCGGGCAGGGGGTTTCTTCCTTCTGCTGTGCACAGACAGTGGGCAGCCCTGAGGAAAGCAGGAAGGCCAAGGGCTGCCTTGGCCATGACTGCTGGTTTCTGTCCTGTCCCCCACCATGGAGCATGACTTTGCTCTGACTCTCCAGGCTGCCGTGGTGGGTGCAGGAGGTGGGTTCCTTTGCCATATTCTCCCCAAGTTCCCCCTTGTTGCAGAGTGGGCCCATTGCGTACATCACTGAGTTCCTGGGTGTGCTGGGGGATCTGACCCTGGCCATGGAGAAGCTGCCGTCCTGGGCAGCCCCTCAGCATGTGAAGAAGAACCTGTTGACAATGAGGGATGAGGTCTTCCTCAACTTTGAGCCGCTGGGAGTGGTGCTGATCATCGGGACCTGGAACTACCCCTTTATGCTGGTCATGCAGCCTCTGATCGGAGCCATCGCAGCAGGTGGGGCCCGTCCTTTGTGGGGCTGTGTGTGGGTGGGTGGTGGGGGAGAGGAGGGTGAGGGCTCAGGGGCCGTGCTGTGTCTGTCCTGTAGGCAATGCTGTGGTGGTGAAGCCGTCAGAGGTGAGTGAGAACACAGCTCGGCTGGTGGCTGATCTCCTCCCCCAGTACCTGGACCGGGTGAGTGTGGACCCGTGTTGGTCCCCAGGTTTCTCTGTGCTATAGTGATGCACAGGGTTGGGGTGACACTGACACCCTTGCCTTGCAGGAGCTGTACCCTGTGGTCACTGGAGGAGTTCCTGAGACAACAGAGCTGCTCAC